AAAGGCAGAGAGAAACTATCCAAATCAACAAAATCAGAAATGAAAAGTGGGACATAACCACAGACACTGAAGGAACCCAAACAATAATTAGGTCTTACTTCCAAAGTCTATATGCCACAAAATTTGAAAATCTAAATAAAATGGACAATTTTCTTGACCAATTCTACATGCCAAAGCTGCATCAAGACCAGGTAAACCAATTAAATAGTCCTATATCCCCTAAGGAAATAGAAGCTGTCATCAAAAGTCTACCATGCAAAAAAAAGTCCAGGGCCAGATGGTTTCAGTGCCAAATTCTACCAGACCTTCAAAGAAGAGCTAACACCAATACTCTTCAAACTATTCCACAAGATAGAAACAGAAGGAACACTACCAAACTCATTCTATGAAGCCACAGTCACCTTGGTACCTAAACCTCACAAAGACCCAACAAAGAAACAGAATTTCAGGCCAAACTCCCTCATAAACATTGATGCAAAAATACTCAACAAAATACTTGCAAACAGAATCCAAGAACACATCAAAGACATCCATCATCCACTACGACCAAATAGGCTTCATCCCAGGAATGTAGAGGTGGTTCAATATACGGAAATCAATCAATGTGATCCACCACATAAAAAAACTGAAGGAGAAAAACCACATGATCATCTCCTTAGATGCTGAAAAGGCATTTGACAAAAATCCAACATCCATTCATGTTTAAAGTATTAGAGAGATCAGGGATACAAGGCACATACCTGAACATAGTAAAGGCAATATACAGCAAGCCTATAGCCAACATCAAACTCAATGGAGAGAAACTTAAATCATTCCCACTGAAATCAGGGACAAGGCAAGGCTGTCCACTCTCTCCATATCTTTTCAACATTGTTCTTGAAGTCCTAGCTAGAGCAATAAGACAATTGAAGGATATCAAGGGGATACAAATTGGAAAGGAAGAAGTCAAAGTATCACTATTTGCAGATGATATGATAGTATACCTGAGTGACCCCAAAAACTGTACCAGGGAACTCCTACAGCTGATTAACACCTTCAGTAAAGTGGCTGGATACAAAATTAACTAAAAAAAAAAAATCAGTAGCCTTCCTGTATACCAAGGACAAAAGGCCTGAGAAAGAAATTAGGGAAACAACACCATTCACAATAGCCACAAATTACATAAAGTATCTTGGTGTGAACCTAACCAAGCAAGTCAAAGACTTGTATGAAAAAAATTTCCAGTCTCTGAAGAAAGAATTAGAAGAAGATATCAGAATATGGAAAGATCTCCCATGCTCATGGCTTGGCAGGATTAACATAGTTAAAATGGCCATCTTACCAAAAGCAATCTACAGATTCAATGCAATTCCCATCAAATTACCAACACAATTCTTTACAGACCTTGAAAGAAAAATTCTCACCTTCATATGGAACAACAAGAAACCCAGAATTGCTAAAACAATTCTCTACAGTAAAAGATCTTCAGGAGGTATCTCCATCCCTGATCTCAAGCTGTACTATAGAGCAACAATACTAAAAACTGCATGGTACTGGCATAGAAAAAGACTGGTGGATCAATGGAATTTAATAGAAGACCCTGATATAAATCCACACATTTATGGACACCTGATTTTTGACAAAGATGCCAAATCCATTCAATGGAAAAAAGACAGCATCTTCAACAAATGGTGCTGGTCTAACTGGAAGTCTACATGTAGAAAAATGAAAATAGATCCATACTTATCATCCTGCACAAAACTAAAGTCCATGTGGATCAAAGACGTCAACATAAAACTAGACACACTAAACCGCTTAGAAGAAAAATTGGGGAATATTCTTGAACTCATTGGCACAGAAGACAACTTCCGGAACAGAACACCAACAGCACAGGCTCTAAGAGCAACAATCAATAAATGGGACCTCATGAAACTGAAAAGCTTCTGTAAAGCAAAGGATACTGTCTTCAGAACAAAACGACAGTCTACATATTGGGAAAAGATCTTCACCAACCCTATATCTGACAGAGGGCTAATATCCAGTATATATAAAGAACTAAATAAGTTAAACAGCAAAAAATCAAGTAATCCAATTAAAAAATGGTGTATAGAGCTAAACAGAGAATTCTCTGCAGAGGAATATCGCATGGCAGAGAAACACTTAAAGAAATGGTCAGCCTCACTAGCCATCAGGGAAATGCAAATCAAAACAACCCTAAGATTTCACCTTATACCCATCAGAATGGCTAAGATAAAAATCTCGAGTGACTATACATGCTGGAGAGGTTGTGGAGAAAGGGGAACCTTCTTCCACTGCTGGTGGGAATGTAATCTTGTACAACAACTCTGGAAAGCAATCTGGCCCTTTCTCAGACAACTAAGAATAGTGCTTCCTCAAGATCCAGCTATACCACTCCTAGGCATATATCCAAAAGATTCTCAAGTACACAATAAGGACATTTGCTCAACCATGTTTGTAGCAGCCTTATTTGTAATAGCCAGAAGCTGGAAACAGCCCAAATGCCCCTCAGTGGAGGAATGGATGCACAAATTGTGGTATATCTACACAATGGAATATTACTCAGCAATAAAAATCAAGGAAATCATGAAATTTGCAGGTAAATGGTGGGACCTGGAAAAGATCATACTGAGTGAGCTGTCCCAGAAGCAGAAAGATGCACACGGTGTATACTCATTAATATAGACATATAATATAGGATAAACCTACTAAAATCTGTACACCTAAAGAAACTAATCAAGAGGGAGGACTCTTGCTAAAATTCTCAATTCCTATCCAGAAAGGCAAAGAGGATGGACATCAGAAGAAGGAGAAAAGAGGGAACAAGTCAGGAGCCTGACACAGAGGACCTCTAAAAAGCTCTGCCCTGCAGACTATCAATGTAGATACTGAGACTTATGGGCAACCTTTGGGCAGAGTAAAGGGAATCTTAGGAAAGAAGTGGAAAACAGTAAGATCCGGAGAGGACAGGAACTCCATAAGGAGAGCAACAGAACCAAAAAATCTGAGCACAGGGTCTTTCCTGAGACTGCTATTCCAACCAAGGACTATGCATGGAGATAACCTAAGACCCCTGCACAGATGTAGCCCATGGCAGTTCAGTATCCAAGTGGGTTCCATTGTAATAGGAACAGGGACTGTCTCTGACATGAACTGATTGGCTTGCTCTTTAATTACCTCCCCCTGAGGGGGAAGCAGCATTACCAGGTCACAGAAGAGGACAAGGCAGCCACTCCTGATGAAACCTAATTGACTAGGATCAGAAGGAAGGAAAAGAAGACCTCCCCTATCAGTGGACTTGGGGAGGGGCATGCATACAGAGGGTGGAAGAAGAGAGGGATTGGGACAGGAGGAGGGAGGGAACCATGGGGGGGGGATACAAAGTGAGTAAAGTGTAATTAATAAAGAAAAATAAAATCAAAAAAATCTGTTGATTACCAGCCTATAATGAAGGACTTAAGCAGTCCAATGACAGCTTCTGCCAAATGGCCAAATATAATTTTAGAAGTGTGCATAAGAGCTGTTAATAAAACATTTCCTAACAGTTGGGAAATTTAAAATTAATTAGAAACTAAAGAAAATCCTGTTTATCTACATTAGCAGAGCTTTAATAGAAATGAAGGTAAAATTATTAAATATCACAGTGAGATAAACCTTCCCATCCTAGAAGAAAATAGTATTTTTTTAACAAGAGGTTTACTTATGTATGTTTCTGAGTTCTCTGTCTTCCTGTATATATCCGCAGACAGAAAGGGGCATTAAATACCATTATAAATGGTTTTGAGTTACCATGTGGTTGCTGGGAATTGAAGTCAAGACTTTTGGAAGAGCAACCAGTGCTCCTAACCACTGAGCCATCTCTCCAGCCCCAGAAGATAATAGTTTTAACTATGGATTCATCTACCAATAATAGTGTATTCTATTTATTATTATTTTCCTTCACAGTTCTGTTAAATCACAGAATTTGTTTTCATATAAGTACAGATATCTACATGTTAACAAACATGTCTGTGAGGCCACAGATATCTGAATTTGAAAAAAAAAATAAAAAAGAGAACCCAGAGTCTTATGGTCAATACAACAGTGTATCAATTAGTAAATGATTAAGATGAAAACATATGTAAAAATCTAGCAGGCTTTAGCAACATAACTGATGAACTTAGTCAGACTGATCTAATTCAGGTACAACTTCAAATTGTCACTTACATTATGAAGTTTATGTACACATGGAGTACTCTGCCAGAGACAGAGATCCTTTCAAATATTCTAAAAGCAGACAACAGAAGCATATTTCTATTTAACTCTTTTTTTATAAGACTTGTATGTCATGCCCAAAATATAAAAACAAAAATAAAAAAATAGATAAAATATAACCAACCTAAAAGAATAACTTTCAAGATGACAAAAAGTCTCTCTCCAGGTGAGTAAACATTATTCTTAGTCCTGTTTATGGAGGGGAGAAAAAGGAAGTGTTAAATATTCTTATGAAAACAGCATGTCTTTGAATAACTGCATCTGTGAACCTTAGAAGGTTTTTACTACACATGTCCACTGGCTCCCATGCTGTATAATATTAAGATATTATTAGAGAATGCAACTCCATGCGCAGATGCATTTTCACTCAATATCATTTCACAGTAACTTTTCCTATCACTAACTTGTACTTACTCATTCACCATAGCCACAGATACCCGTGTACCCTGCAGCCAATGTACTTAAAGCCTTCTTCTCATTTTTCATTTATTGATACTTATTCTTAGGAATCAACTTTTATAATCTGCAGTAATCAAAATGCACCTTTTCTTTCCTCAAGCCTCAGAGAGGAAGGAATTCCTGAACCAGGCATCAGAGCCCAGCTGCAACAGTTCTCTGCCCCTGAGAGGAGCTGAACCATCCCTGTTCTGCCTCCCCCTCCCCATACCCTGGAAGAACCACTTGGATTTCCTATGTTCTTGTGCGTTTACAGAGCTATCTACCCTTTATGTAACAGGGGCAGGACTTACCTCCCTGGAATTGTCTCAGTGATGTCCAGAGTATAGATCTTCAGCAAGGCAGGAAATGGGGCTTGTCTATTTTGAGTAGGAAGATAAATCTCTCAAAATGTGGGTATTGCACTCTCACTGAATGCTGAGAAAATGTAGTATTTACAGAATAACAGAGAAGACAAGGGAACTGGTTAAAGTAAGTTTCTAAGTGGAGCAGTGCTGGATGTCTGCCTCTCCCTGCTGTCTCCCCAGGGAGGGTTGTGATGAAATAGGATTCTTCCCAGCAGTGTTCATAGCTTTCGATTTCCCCAGCTCTGAAAGCAGAACTCTTTATTTCCTGTTATTAATGTGGTTTCTAGAAAAAAAAAAAACACCCTACAGAAACAAAGCTCCACTTTATGCAGTTATTTTTTTTTTTAAAGTAAAAATAGGTAGAAATTCCAGCATTGAGTCTTTCATATCCCACAGACTTAGAAGTAGGTCACTAGGAATCTTTTTTGAATGAAAGTGAAATCACAGAGACAAAGGGGAGTCACTCAGCCATCTCCCCCTTTTTTCTTGTTCAGAATGGAAGCTGCCAGAGGGGAACTTGTCAGAGCCTGTTGCTCTGTACTTGCCTGTACATATCCTGAATAGGGAAAGATCTGTCATGAATCCTTTCCAGTTTAAACTCTTTACAAAGCTTTCATTCTTTTGTCAATGGTTCCCAGGCCATAGCTTTCCAGAGCGTAATGTCATCAGAAACATGTGACTCCAACCTCAGCTAAACATAACGTTAGTTGGCAATGACTGCTCTCTGTAGCATGGCTTAACTGTACTCTTTAAGTGATTAATATAAGGGCCACTTAGGCAATCTTTCTGGGAAAACTCAGCAGATCCTGGCCTATATAGTGACAATACTTGAAGACTTGCAAACTTGTGGAAAAGCTCTGAACTTCTGGTAGCTTCAGAGCTTGAAACAACAGTTGTCTGACTGAGTTCCCCTGTGTTTGATAGTGGATGGTGTCTGTACCGCTGTTTTCCTCCGACATGGAACATAGGACACCAACCAGCTAATGCTAGTATAAGAGCCTATAGTATATTAACTTGCTGGATAATTTTTTTCTTTTTTATTATTAATATTATTATTAGTTACATTTTATTAATTTTGTATCCCAGCTGTATCCCGCTCCCTTGTTCCCTCCCAACCCCACCCTCCCTCATCTTCTCCCTGCCCCTTTCCGAGTCCATGGATAGGTGAGGTCCTCCTCCTCTTTCATCTGACCTTGTTTAATCAGGTATCTTCAGGACTGGCTACAAAGTCCTCCTCTGTGGCCTAGCAGAACTTCTCCTCCCTTGGGGGGTGGGGAGGTCAAAGAGCCTGCCATTTCTGAAACTGTTTCTCCAACCAAGGACCATGTATGATCCTTGTATGGTCCTAGAACCTTTCCTCGGACGAAGCTCGTGGTAGCTCAGTAACCAATGGGTTTCACATAGTAAGGGGAACAGGGACTATTTCTGACAGGAACTCAATGGCAGGCGCTTTGCTTGTTTTTAATTGTTGAGCAGTATTCCATTGGGTAAATGTACCACAATTTCTGTATCTATTCCTTTGCTGAGGGACGTCTGGGTTGTTTCCAGATTCTGGCTATTACAAATAAAACTGCTAAGAACATGGCTGACAAAATGTCTTTGTTGTATACTTGAGCAACTTTTGGATATATGTCTAAGAGTGATATAGCTGGATTTTGAAGTAGCACTATTCCTAATCACCTGAGAAAATGCCAGTTTGATTTCCTAAAGGTTGTACAAGTTTACATTCCCGCCAGCAGTGGAGGAGGGTTCCCCTTTCTCCACATCCTCTCCAGGATGTGTTATCACTTGAGTTTTTTATCTTAGCCATTCTGATGGGTGTAAGCTGAAACCTCAGGGTCATTTTAATTTGCATCTCCCTGGTGACTATGGACGGATATTCAGCATTTTGTTGGTATAATGTTGATATAATTTACCCTTGTTCATTCAAATGCTGATTTCTCTACCCCATTCTGGTTTTTAATCCAGACATTGCATTGTGATACTTATTCTAAGCATCACCTGTCTGAAGTTTGTGTAAACATGCCACCATTTGTTATCTGTATTGTCAATAATACAACCAGCCACAATGCTGAACAATGGAGAGAATAAGGTGGGGAGGAGAAAGGAAGCAAGTGGGAGGAGTAGGAGAGCAGAGAGCAGCAGGACAGGACTTGGAACCATAAGGAGAGATGTACTGGACCTAAGATATGACTAGAAGCAAGTATAATGAGTGAAATCTGAATGGTAGGAAACTATGGGGGGTTGGAGGTTTAGGATGGAGTAACTATTACCCAGCATTGTACTCTAGGTTAATTAAATAAATCTTAGTCTCTGTGTGGTGATTTCTGTATACAGCTGGTTTGGGAATAATCAGTGCTTAACTAAAAGACAAATCAAAAATAAATATTATTAACCCACAACAAATCGTGTCCAAGTAATGTAAGTATCCACACCCTTTACATCATACTTCCATCTAATTTAGTGGGGGAAATAAACTCCCAGGGATACAGCCCTAACTTAAAACCTAAAATCTCCTAGGTCAATTACTGTCTCTTTAAGAGAGACTCTTCAATAGGCCCAGGAGTAAAAGACAGTCTACTGTGGGCAGACCCAAGACTTAACAAAACTGGCTGCCACTACAGTCTAACAGGAGGGGTACACAAGCATGGCTTCCTGATACTGTAGCTGGCTCAGCTCAGCTCAGAGCAACAACAGCAGCCATGGCTAGAAAGAAAGGAACTGGAGGCAGACAGACTTCTAAACAGAGCTTGGCCTAAAACTGCATCTAAAAAAAAAAAAAAAAAAAAAAAAAAAAAAATGCCATGGTAGTGGGTGTTTTAATCCCTTTTGGCTTTGATTGCCATAGTCATGGATCTGGTTGTCATTTGTTTAATGGTGATAGCTCTTCTCCATGCCTTCTTCAAGAAAGTTCAAGGAGAAAATGGGGGAAAAAAAAAAACCAAGGAATGGAATACTAAGTTATAAACAATAGAAAAAGCACTCTTGGTAATAAAAATTAGATTAATAGAGGCTAAAATTCAAAGCTCGCTGGCTGCAAGATACTTGTTTGCTCTTTCTGGTTAGGGTCTGCTGTTTCACTGTAACAACTAAATTCCAAAAAATAACAAACTGGATTTTGATTGTTACAGCTGAATATGACACAAGTAACCCAAAACTCAAAATTTTCTTGTCTCTTTGCTTGATTTTCATTTAAAGGTTTTGAGTTACAATGATATGGATTTGAGAAAAAAAATATTTGAAGAAGTTGGTGAAGGCACATACATTTAATCTGGACACAAAGTAAAAAGAAATAGGCAGATCTCTGAGTTCCAGATCATCCTAACTTACACAACAAAAGCTAAGGTGGCAACTCCTGCTGTTTAGCCACTTGCAGAGAGTCTAGTCTTCAAAATGACAAAATTCTCCTTAAGGTTACTATGTAAATACTTTTTTCTTAATAATAGATATTATGTCCTTACTGATCTAAAGGTTGGATTCACATCAATTTTAGGTTTCTGTAAGGAGAGCTGATGTCACACTTCTCTAAAAAGGCCAGCCAATCTCAAAACTGGTACTTCCACAAAACTGGTACAAAAGGGCATTCTGGCTTAAGAAATATGCTCTGTTGGTCAATATAAGGACTCAAAATTAGGCTGGGAGACAAACATGCAAACCACATGCCTCCCTCATCAAAAAACTTTTTTTAATATAATTTTTATTTATTATAATTTATTCACTTTGTATCCCAGCTGTAGCCTCTCCCAATCCTACCCTCCCTCCTTCTCTTCCTCCTTCATCTCCTCCCATGCCTCTTCCCCTTCCATCTGACCCTAGCCTATCAGGTACCTTTAGGGCTGTCTTCTATAGTCTCCCTCTGTGGCCATCCCTGAGTTCATGTCAGAGACAGCCCCTGTGCCCCTTACTAGGAAGCCCATTTGGAGACTGAGCTGCCATGGGCTACCTCTGTGCAGGGGGTCTAGGTTATCTCCATGCATGGTCTTTGGTTGGAGTATCAGTCTCAGAAAAGACCCCTAGGCCCAGATTTCTTGGTTCTATTGTTCTCCTTGTGGAGCTCCAGACCCTTACAGGTCTTTCTATCTCCCCCTTCTTTCATAAGATTCCTTGTACTCTGCCCAAAGTTTGGCTATGAGTATCACCATCTGCTTTAATACCTTGCTGGATAGAGTTTTTCAGAGGCCCTCTGTGGTAGGCTCCTGTTTTGTTCCTTGATTTCATCTTCTTCCAGTGTCTAGCCTGTTTGCTTTTCTGAATGAAGATTGAGCATCTTATCCAGGATTCTCCCTCTTGCTTAGCTTTATTAGACATATAATATAGGATAATCATGCTAAAATCTGTACACCCAAGACTTTTAAATGCTGACTAGATAAAGTGTCACACTGCTCTGGAAGCTGGCTTTCAAATGTGAGACATTTTTCCACTGAGGAAGACAAATGTTGCTCATGCCTAATGCAAAACAAACAAACAAACAAAAGCCACACAGGGCCCTTATAAGTGGCCAAGTACATGCCAACCTAGTTAAGTCCTAGAAACTCAAATATTACAATTCATATGTTTAAAAGCCTGAACCATCCATCCCATATCAAAAAAAGGGAAAGCCAAAGAATAGCCACAACCAATGTAAAATCCAGGTTCAAGATGCCTAGGGTATGCTTAAGAGCTAAAGCTATAAGGGAATTTATACAAAGTTTCCTTATAAATGCATAACTGTCTATTCGGTATAGAAAAGGGAATCAAATAAAAATAGCTACAACATATATAAAAACCTAGGCCTAAACCTCTAAACAGGTACAAGATGCCTTGGGTATGCGTAAACTCTAAATTAAAAAGGAGTTTATATACAGTTTACATAAAACATGCCTTTTGCCTATTGCGCAAGGCAACCAGCTTGTCTCTCTTATGGGAGGCCTTCTCTAGAGAGATAGGTAGCAGCTTGGCCTAATACAACAGATGCCTAAGAGCCCAAAAAAGATATTTTGATCTATCCAACCTTGTTTTGATTTCAACATGATATTGATTGTATGTTCAATAATAATGGTAACATTAATTGTTGATCCCTTCACACAGGAACAACTCTGAAACTGACTGAGACATAAAAATTGTCTCCAGCAAGAACTTCAGCAATACATGGCCAACATTTCCTTGCCTACAATATCCTCA